AAAAAAAAACACAAAGTCCTGCTCTATTGCCCAGGCTAGAGCACAGTGACATGATTATACTCACTGCAGACTTAAACTCCTGTGATCAAGCAATCCTTCCACCTCAGCCTCCAGAGTAGGTAGGACTACAGGTGCACACCACCCTGCCTGACCTTCTGCTTCTTATTTTATTTTATTTATTTTATTTTATTTTAAAGACAGGGTCTCACTCTGTCGCCTAGATTGGAGTGCAGTGGCAGGATCTAGGCTCACTGCAGCCTTAACTCCTCCTGTGCTCAACTGATCCTCCCACCTCAGCCTCCCAAGTAGCTGGGCCCATAGGCACATGTCACCATGCCCTTTTTTTTTTTTTTTTTTTTTTTTTGGAGAGATAAGGTCTACCAATATCACCCAGGCTGGTCTAGAACTCCTGGGCTCAAGCAATCCACCCCCCTCAGCCTCCCAAACTGCTGGGATTACAGGCATGAGCTACCACGCCCAGCCTCTTTATGCTCATGGATATGCCTCCATCAAACCTCACATTTTGCCTCACACAGAGTAGGTGCTCAATAAACACTGAATGCCTGAAAGGGCACCCCTTGTGCCTGTCTCTGTGAGAATGGTTGGAACGTCAGAGGCCACTAGGTGGAACCAAATGTCCAGTGATGGTAGTTAAGGGCCCGGCCTCAGACCTTCACCCTATCTGATCCTAATCCATCCCACTCTGCCCAGGTCCTGCCCACAGACCTTCTATGGCTGTCTGAGGAAGCCTTCTGAAGAGATGATAGGGGACAGGGTGGGTTCCCAGGGGCTGAGACTAAAGGGATGGGGGATGTGCCTACTCTTCCCCTCCACCCCCCCGGAGAGTGCCCAGCATGGGTCCCCCAAAAGCACTTTTCTCCCACCCCTAGTTCTACTCGAGGAAGATTCCTCTCTCTGGACCAAGCTGGAGCCATCTCCCCTATTCAGAAGCATGCCAGGCAGAGACAGAAGGCTTTCCTAGCCCTTGGGAGTGTCTCTCCACGATCCCAGGAATTCCCCATTCCTCTCCCTGGGAGTTTCCCCAGTGCTGGCTACAGAAAAGGTATTTAGCTGGGGCCGGGTGTGGTAGCTCACGCCTGTAATCCCAGCACTTTGGGAGGCGGAGATGGGTGGATCATGAGGTCAGGAGTTCAAGACCAGCCTGACCAACATGGTGAAACCCCGTCTCTACTAAAAATACAAAAATTAGCTGGGCATGGTGGCGCATGCCTGTAATCCCAGCTACTCAGGAGACTGAGGCAGAAGACTCACTTGAGGGAGGAAGTGGGCAGAGGGAAGAGCAGGGGAAGGGAGGGGAGGAGAGGGGAGAGGAGGGGAGAGGAGAGGAGAGGAGAGGAGAGGAG